TCATAGCCACACACTCTCATAGCCACTCACTCTCATAGCCACACACTCTCATAGCCACTCACTCCCACATAGCCACTCACTCTCATAGCCACTCACTCTCATAGCCACCCACTCTCATAGCCACACACTCTCATAGCCACTCACTCTTATAGCCACTCACTCTCATAGCCACACACTCACATAGCCACTCACTCTCATAGCCACTCACTCTCATAGCCATTCACTCACATAGCCACACACTCTCATAGCCACACACTCTCATAGCCACTCACTCACATAGCCACTCACTCTCATAGCCACTCACTCTCATAGCCACTCGCTCTCATAGCCACACACTCTCATAGCCACTCACTCACATAGCCACACACTCTCATAGCCACTCACTCTCATAGCCACACACTCTCATAGCCACTCACTCTCATAGCCACACACTCTCATAGCCACTCACTCACATAGCCACACACTCTCATAGCCACACACTTACATAGCCACTCACTCTCATAGCCACTCACTCTCATAGCCACACACTCTCATAGCCACACACTCTCATAGCCACACACTCTCATAGCCACTCACTCTCATAGCCACACACTCTCATAGCCACTCACTCACATAGCCACACACTCTCATAGCCACACACTCTCATAGCCACTCACTCTCATAGCCACACACTCTCATAGCCACACACTCACATAGCCACTCACTCTCATAGCCACTCACTCTCATAGCCACACACTCTCATAGCCACTCACTCTCATAGCCACTCACTCTCATAGCCACACTCTCATAGCCACTCACTCACATAGCCACTCACTCTCATAGCCACACACTCACATAGCCACTCACTCTCATAGCCACTCACTCTCATAGCCATTCACTCACATAGCCACACACTCTCATAGCCACACACTCTCATAGCCACTCACTCACATAGCCACTCACTCTCATAGCCACTCACTCTCATAGCCACTCGCTCTCATAGCCACACACTCTCATAGCCACTCACTCACATAGCCACACACTCTCATAGCCACTCACTCTCATAGCCACACACTCTCATAGCCACTCACTCTCATAGCCACACACTCTCATAGCCACTCACTCACATAGCCACACACTCTCATAGCCACACACTTACATAGCCACTCACTCTCATAGCCACTCACTCTCATAGCCACACACTCTCATAGCCACACACTCTCATAGCCACACACTCTCATAGCCACTCACTCTCATAGCCACACACTCTCATAGCCACTCACTCACATAGCCACACACTCTCATAGCCACACACTCTCATAGCCACTCACTCTCATAGCCACACACTCTCATAGCCACACACTCACATAGCCACTCACTCTCATAGCCACTCACTCTCATAGCCACACACTCTCATAGCCACTCACTCTCATAGCCACTCACTCTCATAGCCACTCACTCTCATAGCCACTCACTCTCATAGCCACTCACTCACATAGCCACACACTCACATAGCCACACACTCTCATAGCCACACACTCACATAGCCACTCACTCTCATAGCCACTCACTCTCATAGCCACTCACTCACATAGCCACTCACTCACATAGCCACTCACTCTCATAGCCACACACTCTCATAGCCACTCACTCTCATAGCCACTCACTCTCATAGCCACTCACTCTCATAGCCACTCACTCACATAGCCACACACTCACATAGCCACACACTCTCATCGCCACACACTCACATAGCCACTCACTCTCATAGCCACTCACTCTCATAGCCACTCACTCTCATAGCCACTCACTCTCATAGCCACACACTCTCATAGCCACTCACTCTCATAGCCACACACTCTCATAGCCACTCACTCCCACATAGCCACTCACTCACATAGCCACACACTCTCATAGCCACACACTCTCATAGCTACTCACTCTCATAGCCACTCACTCTCATAGCCACTCACTCTCATAGCCACTCACTCACATAGCCACTCACTCTCATAGCCACACACTCTCATAGCCACTCACTCTCATAGCCACTCGCTCTCATAGCCACTCACTCACATAGCCACTCACTCTCATAGCCACACACTCTCATAGCCACACACTCTCATAGCCACTCACTCTCATAGCCACTCTCTCATAGCCACACACTCTCATAGCCACACACTCTCATAGCCACTCTCTCTCATAGCCACACACTCTCATAGCCACTCACTCTCATAGCCACTCACTCTCATAGCCACTCACTCTCATAGCCACTCACTCTCATAGCCACTCACTCTCATAGCCACTCACTCTCATAGCCACTCACTCTCATAGCCACTCTCTCATAGCCACACACTCTCATAGCCACACACTCTCATAGCCACTCACTCTCATAGCCACACACTCTCATAGCCACTCACTCATAGCCACTCACTCTCATAGCCACTCACTCACATAGCCACACACTCTCATAGCTACTCACTCTCATAGCCACACACTCTCATAGCCACTCACTCTCATAGCCACTCACTCTCATAGCCACTCACTCTCATAGCCACTCACTCACATAGCCACACACTCACATAGCCACACACTCTCATAGCCACTCACTCACATAGCCACTCACTCTCATAGCCACTCACTCACATAGCCACACACTCACATAGCCACTCACTCTCATAGCCACACACTCTCATAGCCACTCACTCACATAGCCACTCACTCACATAGCCACTCACTCTCATAGCCACTCACTCTCATAGCCACTCACTCACATAGCCACTCACTCTCATAGCCACTCACTCTCATAGCCACTCACTCACGTAGCCACACACTCACGTAGCCACTCACTCTCGTAGCCACACACTCTCATAGCCACTCACTCTCGTAGCCACACACTCTCATGGCCACACACTCTCATAGCCACTCACTCACATAGCCACTCACTCTCATAGCCACTCACTCACATAGCCACACACTCTCATAGCCACACACTCTCATAGCCACTCACTCTCATAGCCACTCACTCTCATAGCCACTCACTCACATAGCCACACACTCTCATGGCCACACACTCTCATAGCCACTCACTCACATAGCCACTCACTCACATAGCCACACACTCTCATAGCCACACACTCTCATAGCCACTCACTCTCATAGCCACTCACTCACATAGCCACACACTCTCATAGCCACACACTCTCATAGCCACACACTCTCATAGCCACTCACTCTCATAGCCACTCACTCTCATAGCCACTCACTCTCATAGCCACTCACTCTCATAGCCACTCACTCTCATAGCCACACACTCTCATAGCCACACACTCTCATAGCCACACACTCTCATAGCCACTCACTCACATAGCCACTCACTCACATAGTCACTCACTCTCATAGCCACTCTCATAGCCACACACTCTCATAGCCACACACTCTCATAGCCACTCACTCACATAGCCACTCACTCTCATAGCCACTCACTCTCATAGCCACTCACTCTCATAGCCACTCACTCTCATAGCCACACTCATAGCCACACTCACATAGCCACACTCACATAGCCACACTCACATAGCCACACTCACATAGCCACACACTCACATAGCCACACTCTCATAGCCACACACCCAAATAGCCACACACTCTCATAGCCACACATTCACATAGCCACACTCACATAGCCACACTCACATAGCCACACTCTCATAGCCACTCACTCTCATAGCCACTCCCTCTCATAGCCACTCACTCTCATAGCCACACTCACATAGACACACACTCTCATAGACACACTCTCAGATTGCCACACACTCTCAGCAACACTCACATAGCCACACTCTCATAGCCACACGCTCAGATTGCTACTCACTCATAGCCACTCACTCTCATAGCCACACTCTCATAGCCACACACTCTCATAGACACACTCTCAGATTGCCACACACTCTCAGATAGCAACACTCACATAGCCACACGCTCAGATTGCCACACACTCTCTCAGATAGCCACACAATCTCAGATAGCCACACACTCTCCGATTGCCACACGCTCACACTCGGTGGAGGGTGCTGTGTGCGCACGTGGGCCGTGTCCACGTGCCGGTGACGCCGTCTCCTCTGCCCCGGTGCCGGCACCGCCGCCATTGCCGTGGCCACGGCGTGCACGGCGTGCGCACGGCCCTCGCACGCCGTGGCGACAGGCGCCGCCCCCGTGTACACGTGCCATGTGCTGCTGCGCGGGGTGCCGGCTTCCTGCACCAGCAGCAGGTGTGTGTGTGTGCAGCAGCTGTGTGTGTGCAGGTGTCAGTGCAGCAGCTGTGTGTGTGGCAACACAGCAAGTAGGATTCTGAGCTGTCTTTTCTTGTACGCCTGCGTTTACTTCGGGCACTCTGGATTCCTTGGATGTAAAATGAAAACATTTGCTTAATGTTGCCAATATAGAGACACACGAATTAGAGCGTGAATTATTCTGTGAGGGGCTTGCTGGCCTAAAGTTCCCAATTAGTATGAGTAATTATTCACAATTAGTGACTTCACAGGTGTGTGTATGTCGCCGGATGTGATCCACGCACGCTCACTAGCGAACCGAGCGCTGGCAGCACGGAGAGTGGGGGGGGGGGGGGTGCGTTGTGCACCAGCTGGGTGAAATTGGGTGGCAATTCAGGCCGTGGGGGGTGCCAGGGTCTCGTGGCAGTGGGGGACGGCGGCCGTGGTACAAACACGACTGCGCGGGCCGAGTGCTGGCATAGCTCGGTGATGGTGATGGTGCTGTGGGAGGTGGTGACGGTGGTGATGGCTGTCGTGATGTTGGTGGTGACGGCGGCAATGGCTGTGGTGGTCGTGGTTGCGATAATGGTTGTGGTGATGGCAGTGCCGATGATGGTGGTGACGGTGAGGATAATGGTGGTGGTGATGGTAGAAGGGACTTGTTCAAGGATGGCTATGGAGGTAATTTGTAGATGGAGATCAACTGGAACCGTCAGTCACCCTGACCCCCCCCCCCCCCGCCCTCCCCTGCAGGGAGCAGCCAATCTTCAGCACGAAGGCGCACGTGTTCCAGATCGACCCGGCCACCAAGAAGAACTGGGTCCCGGCGAGCAAGCAGGCGGTCGCCGTGTCCTACTACTACGACTCGGCCCGCAACGCCTACCGCATCATCAGCATGGACGGCACCAAGGTGAGCGGCGGGGCCCGCCAGGGGCCCGAGGGGGCCGCCACCCCCCGCCCCACCGGAGGGGCCATCTTGCCGACCGACAGCACCGCCGGCTGCAGCTGCTTCCTCGGACGCTGCCTTCCGAGCTTCCTGGCTCGTAACGCAACGCGTGTACAGTGCTTGGGCAGGCAAGACGGGTGGGGGCCACGCAGCGTGGGAGGTAGCGGCGAGCTGGGGATGAGGAGTCGTAGTAATGGGGGTTGGGATGTTGTTGCAGGACCAGGCGAGCGCGTGGTGGTGGTGGTGGTGGTGGTCACATTGTGAGGCCGAGGATGCTGGTAGTGGTGAGGAGTTGGGAGGTTGTTGTGGTTGGATTCTTGCAGGCGTGTGGGCACGCTACGGAACGTGCTCGGTGGCGGTGGACAGGGCGGTGAGGAGCGTTGTTGGTCATGGTGGTGGTGGTGGCGGCGGGGGAGGGGTTGTTGGTTACGAATCCGAGGCGCTCATTGCTTTCACTGGACGCCGGCCCAGTTCTGCCGAGGAGGGGAGCGGGGTGAGTGGAGTGGGGAGGGGGCAACAGGAGTGAGAAAAAAAAGCGTGGACATTCTTGTGAGCTGAAGCACGACAGCGACGCTGGGCCCCAACCACTTCACATTCCCGGTCCTGGCCGAACCAACTGTGTGTGATGTCGGGCACCAAGGTGTCGACTGCCCCTCCAACTTGCCTCTCACATGCCCCCCCCCCTCCCCCATTTCCTGGTGCCCAGGTGATCATCAACAGCACGGTGACGCCAAACATGGCGTTCACCAAGACGTCACAGAAGTTTGGGCAGTGGGCAGACAGCCGTGCCAACACGGTCTACGGCCTGGGCTTCTCATCCGAGCAGCATCTCACCAAGGTGCCCCCACTCCTCCGCCTCCTCCTCCTCATGTCCTTAACTTAGTACCTGGTGCAGTGTGTAAAACGTCAGACAAAGGTGGCTGGGCGTGGTGTTGGCCACCCACATCCTTGTGCACCTTGCCGACTAATAGCACTTTCTCGCACAGCCTGTTGAGGCTATAGGGAGATATTTGTCTTTGTGTATGGACTGTGCTGCTCCCCCCCCCCTCTCCACAGTTTGCGGAGAAGTTCCAGGAGGTGAAGGAGGCAGCGCGCACGGCGAGAGAGAAGTCGCAGGAAAAGGTGGAGACGTCCAGCAACCACTCACAGGTATGTCCACCCTCCAGGTCACGAACCCATGACCCCTCCAGGTCACGAACCCTCAAGGTCACGACCCCTCTAAGTCACGAACTCATGACCCCTCTAGGTCACGAACCCTCCAGGTCACGAACCCTCAAGGTCACGAACCCTCCAGGTCACGAACCCTCCAGGTCACGAACCCAAATGCACGACAGACCCCTGATGTCACTTTTCAGCACAAACGGCACGATGGCAAGGGCTGTGGAGATGCCACCGGTGCAGGGCAGGAGGAGGGGAGACCGAGCGGGCGGAAGGCGAGAGGATGCGGTGGCGTGAGGACGGCGAGTTGCTCGGAGAGAAGAGGCACGGAGCAGAAGCTCGCGGGGAGAGAAAATCCGAGCAGCCGACAGATTGCGGCGGTGGGACTTGGAGAGAGAAGAGTGGTGGCGTGGTCGCGGTCGCGGTTGTGGCACGGTCGCGGTGCGGTTGTTGTAACACGAACGCCGGCGCGGTCGCCCCCACGCAGGAGTCGAGCAGCAGCGACTCGGCGAGCCAGCAGCAGCAGCAGCAGCAGCAGCCGCCCCAGCACCCGACGGGCACGCCTGGGCCCCCTGGGGCCACGGGGCCCGCGGGGCCCCCCGGGACCCCCGGCACCCCCGGCACCCCCGGGCAGCCCCCCGCCTACAACGGCACAGACGACGAGAAGGTGACGCAGGGCGTCCCCGTGGAGGCCCAGCTCTCCTACGAGAACGAGCGACTCAAGGTGGCGCTCGCCCAAAGGTGAAGGGGAGGAGAGGGGCGAGCGAGGGGCGAGCGAGGGGCGAGCTGTATAATTGACCTGGAAAGGCGTCGTATATAAAAGTTAAGTTCTTGTTGTTGTTGTTCTCGCCGCTCAGCTCCGCCAACGGCAAGAAGTGGGAGGTGGAGCTGCAGGCGCTGAAGAGCAGCAACTCGCGGCTGTCGGCGGCGCTCACCGAGGCGACCGCCAGCGCCGACGCGGGGAAGCAGCAGCTCCACGCACTGCAGGGGGAGGCGGAGCACCTGCGGCAGAGGGTGGGGACACGGGGGAGGGGAGGGGGGCGGCGGTGGGGGGAGGCACTCGCGGGCAAGCCGAGGGGAGCTCTGGCAGTGCTTCACGTGTCCGTGCTGCGTGTTCGCGCACTCACTCCCCATGCCTGCCCGGCCCCCCCTCGTCCGCTTTACCCCGCCCTCCCACTACCCGCTCACCCCCCCCCCCCAGGTGTTGGAGCTGGAGAGCGAGACGGGGGAGAGCGGCGCCGCGGCCGAGAGAAACTCGGAGCTGGCGCAGCGTGTGGAGCTGCTGGAGGCGACGCTGCACGAGAGGGAAGAGGTGAGGGGGGGTGGGCGGGACGCCGGAGTGTGTACGCACGTGCGTGCGTTTCTGCGCGAGTGCGCACGTCGCCCTGTGTAAATGTGCGTCGCTGCGCGTGTAGGAGGTGGAGAGGCTGAAGCTGCAGCAAGAGGTGGTGCAGCAGGTGGAGGCGCAGAGGGACGCCGCCTCCCGCCAGCTCAAGGTGCGTCTGTGCGTTCTCATGTACACGTGCATTTTCTTGTGGTGTGAGTGGAGCGTTGTCGAGTGAAACACGCGGGGTAGCGTGTGGTGGAGGATTGAGTGGAGCGTGACGTGAAGAGCGGCGGAGTGCGTGGTGGAATGGTGGAGCGGAGCACGCGGGTGGAGCGCTGCAGCCTGCAGCCCTAGCGAGTGGCCCTCTCCCCCGTGCAGGAGACGGAGGAGCGGGCCGAGGGGCTGGCGGCACGTGTGGCCGAGCTGGAGGAGGCCGTGGGCGCCGCTCGGGCCCAGCAGCTGGAGCAGGGCGAGCGCCTGCGCGATGTCCTGGGCGTTCTCGATGGCAAGATCTCCGAGCTCACCGAGCTGCGCGAGAGCGTCGCCAAGCTGGTGCTCGCCGACTAACGCGGGCCGCCGCACCGCCGGCAGGCGGGTGGGCAGAGCGCCGCCGAGCCCCTTGGGAGGCACCGACATCAACGCGCACGCGCGCGCACATACTCGCACGCACGGCGGCTTGCATGCATTTGTCGGGAGATGGTGCCGCTCTCCGGAGCTCGGTCCCGCGGCCGCGGCCGCGGCGACGGGCCGCGCCGAACGCCGCCGTCGTCGAGAGCACCGCGGCAAAGGTCGCGGTTTGAGCAGCCGCCCGCCGCGGGGAGCGGGCCAGGCCGCCGGCGTCGATGTCGGGGGCCCGTGTGGGGCGCGCCCTCCGCCGGGCCCTCCGCCGGGCCCGCGCCACGTCCGCCGCACGGTCGTGAGGCCGCGCGCCGTGGATGACGAGTGGGACGCGGAGTTACCAACGCTCGTAATCGTAGCAAATCGTACCGTGGGCGCGCGGTCCGCTCCGCTCCCGTTACGGGTGTGCAGGACCCCCCCCCCCCGCCCCCCACCCCTGGGCGGGCTTGCGGGAGGCCCCGTCCCCCCTTGGCGGGTGTGTGGGCCCCATCGCGGACATGCGGGAGGCCCCCCGCTGTCCCCGCGCACCGTCTCGTGTCCGTCCATTCTGTGCGGCGTCATTTGCTAGATTTAGGTCCCTCTCGGCATACGTATCAAATATCGTGCAGTATATCCAGTGAATGGACTTAGGGCTGAACGACTATTGTGTAGTAACCAAATACCTTCCATCCAATCAAATATCCACGTATGAGCCATAGTATATATTATCAAATGTGTAGGAGGACTTGCTTGGAGTCGCACTTATATCGTTCATTCGTGGCCGTGTTTAGGCGTAGTGCCGTGCGCGATCGCGTGGAGCGCGACAGCTTCTCCCACGATGCTGCTGCTGCTGCCCACGGCGCTCAGGCGTCGGGCAGCAGGGGTCAGGGGTCAGGGCAGCCACCCTGTGCGTTAAAAAGGGTCTTGGGGGCCGGTGGTGGGGTCGGGCGCGTCCCCTTCGCCGCTGGGGACCGGAGTATCGGAGGGCGGGGGGGGGGGGGGCGCGCCTGCGAGAGGAGGGGGCGGGGAGTGGGTATTTTTTTCGGGGGGGGGGGTGCCTTGAGGTCGCCTTCATCCCCCCGGGGTTCCGCCCCCTTCCCTCGCGGCGGGGGTCACAGGTCTCGCAGTCTTCCTCTCGAGCGGGCCGTCAGTCAGGCTGCCGTCCCCCGCGCCGTTCCACCACCGCCGACGAGGACGCCCGCGACCAACGCGGCAAACGCACCGCCGCAGTGGCTGAGACGGAGGCATGGGCTCTCTCAACGACAGGGTCGGCGAGGGCTGGCGAGACCGCGTCTCTTTTGTAATTTTCGCGAGGTCGTTTCGAGGGGGCGTTCGGATGTTTTTCTTTTTTGAATGGGTAAACTTTGCCAATCGTTAAGCTACTACTATTATTACTACTGTGCGTTATCAAGTTTTATTTGTGGGTTTTAAGTAGTGCAGTATTACTTTATTTATCGAGGAAACTTGAGAAGCGTTCCAAGCGATGGGCAGCCCTGGGAAAGCTCATCTTTTGCCGACGTTTGAGCCAGCGAGGTCGAGCGTCCCTCGCGACGTCGAGTGTGTGAACCCGTTCCAGTTGGGCCTACGATCAAAACGAGAGCGATGGTGGGGGCCCTCCCCGCCGAGGGAGCGCCGACCCGCGACGAGAGACGCTGTTGGTTTCTGCCCCGACCCCGCGTCGCTCCTCTTTTTTTTTTTTTTCCCCCACTGCGAATAAATCGTTTTGTCCATGGCGCCGGCGTCCCCTCGTGTCCTCTGTCCGTTTGGGGACTCGGTGAGCGGCCGCGGCGTCGTTCCCTCTGGCCACAGTTCCCCTGCGAGTCGTCGTGCGTGGGAGATGGGAGTGCCAAGAGGAAAGCTGTCGCGTGGTGGCACTTCAGATGCAACCTCCGTGCACTGCGCTCCCGTGGCGATGTCGCCAGGTGGGGTGTCTCGTGGAGTGAGCGGGGATTTCTGAATTTAATTTGTCGTTCTTGCCCTGCACCTCCGATTAGCATGGTTGGCTTCATAGGATGCAAAAGTTCAACATACATATCGGTGGTGAATATCTGAACCCGTGCCAAGCCACCTTTAGGTCAACTCGGCTGTAAATGAGCACCTGTTGCAGTGTAGTCAACACCGAGGGAACAAAGGCGGGCGTGGTGTGGATTGCACTACCCCCGAGTGCCGCCCTGCCAACCTTAATAGGTGCTCGCCATCAGAATGTATTCGACTATCTCTGGCTTAACTGGGGGGAGGGGGGGATGGTGCTTTATACAGCGGCGATGCAAAAATAGCCCTCGCTCCCAGCATTCCTCCGTCACTGCTCAAAGCTCCCTCTTCCTCGTGGCACTGTCGGCTTGCTGCTCCCCACACCGGCTGCTTGCGCGCCGCTGCTGCTCCCCAGGTTCTGGGGTTGTGCCGCCTTGAGACGTCGTTCCGTGTGCTCGAGAGCTTCGTCAAGAGCGAGATTCAATTCCTGAATTAAACTTCAGTTCCTGCAGAAGCTCCACACGCAAAAAATCGTCCGATGTCATGCCAGACGCACAATACAACCCCAAAAACACGAGGTATGCGTACCACGCACACAGTACATGCACGGCACAGATGTGTACACACGGTATCAGCACAAGAAATGAACACTGCCTCATTGGTCATTTGAGTAAAAAGTCATTTATAAGTCTACGAGCCTGGGTAGGTCTATAAATCTCAGTCTTGTGAGAAAGCAATGCAACCATATCTGAAGACGCTGTAGAAGAACAGTGGGCGTATTTATTTTATACAGAGGCAGTCGGTCATAGGCAGGGGAAATGGGGAAAGTGTTGAGAGTAAATGGGTTTACACATGTCAGTTATACAAGTCCTGTGCTTAATTAACCCTGGGTGTCCACGAGAGAAATCTCTGGTCTCTGTGACCTCTCTCCTGTATGGTCTGGATACGGGAGGCCATGAACGAGCCCCAATCCACGGACCCCCGAATCGGCTGGAACAGGGGACACGGGTGACTTCCGCTTCCGACAGAAGCAAGGTTTTGGTCAACTCGGAGACCCGGGCGCTCCCCCATCACCACCACTCCCAGCGACTCGGAGAGACGAGGCCTCATCCTGGAGTCAAAACCCAAACCCTGCTCGTTGGTGGCTGGGGCAGGGGCCGGCGTCCTGGGGATGAGACCGCCTGACAAACTTAAATCACAGCCATCTCCCATCCTCCTGCTGCTGCCAATCCAGGAACTTTTGTTTCTCCTGCTGCTGATTTTCCTGCTTTAGGTGCAGCGGTGACTTGCTGCTCCTTGTGCAGCGCGGAGACGCTCCACCTCCCACACGGGGCCCCACCTCCACGTAGCTCAGGGCGCCACGCACCGCCCCGCTCGTCACGAGCGCGGCGCCGTCGGTGCTGGGGATCATGCCGCCGCACCCAGAGCCAGGGACGTCACTGGACTCCAGAACCTTGATCCAATGTCATTGGGTCAGGACCTTGGATTCTAATTCACTACTGAACTGGGTCACTGGACCCCAGACTCCTGTGACCTGGGTAACTGCGCAAGGTCACCTGATCCCCAGGGCAAGGGGCGAGTGCGGCTTCATTAACACAAAACCGTTTAAAAGCCAGACGCCTATAAATAACACCGTGTACAGTCATCTAGATGAGTTTGTAAAACACGTGGAGGTTAAACTCAAAAGCACAGCGGCACGCCCCGTGTAGTGTTGATCGCTCGGCGGGGACGAGGGGCGCTTCGCGGGACCCAAGCTACGGGAAGGCGGAGGCTGAGCACCACGGGAGGGGCGAGTGTGGGGCGAGTGTGGGGCACGGGAGGGGCGAGTGTGGGGCACGGGAGGGGCGAGTGTGGGGCACGTGAGGGGCGAGTGTGGGGCGAGTGTGGGGCACGGGAGGGGCGAGTGTGGGGTAAGTGTGGGGCACGAGAGGGGCGAGTGGGGCGAGTGTGGCGCACGGGAGGGGCGAGTGTGGGGCACGGGAGGGGCGAGTGTGGGGCACGGGAGGGGCCACCGGGATCCCTGTGGTGAAGACCTCCTGGCAGAAAAGTGCCATTGCTCCTTACCCAACAAGAACCTACTTTGCAATCGTCACTTCTCAAAAAGCACCATCCCAATCTCCCCCCCCCCCCCCATGGCAGCTCCCGCAGCCTCCCCGCCGGTGTCCGCTCCATGGTGGGTGCACACGCCCCCCCGTGTCTCGATTCCCCCACCCCGGGCTCCCTGCTCGGCCCGTAGCGGCGCCAGGGATGCCGGCGCCGGCGCCGCGACTCCCACGGCGTTTAAAGTGAATGTGCTGCTGCGCCGCAGCCCCTTCTGGAACCAGAGCCTGGGACCGGGTATCCAACCCGGCCGGCTTCGACTGCGAGGCGCTCGAGTTGCGAGTCGTGCAGACGAGGCCTCACAGTGAGGGACCCGGGTTTGACCCCGGGTCCCTGGTGCATCATAGGGGAGTAGGATACAAGTCTCCCCCAGCCAATAAATAAACACAATACTGATTTTTTTTTGCATAAAAATCATAAAATGCTCAATTAAATAAACAAAGACGGAGTACAAATGTTGAACGAGGGCAGCGCCACTGGGTCCCGTTGCCGAGAGCCCCAACGTGTTAATTAGACGGTCTCGTTCAACCAACTCGGGTCGTGAAGAGCTTCGACTCCCTCGTGGTACGGCACGGGCGGTGCCGGCGGCTCATGCGGGGCCGCTCCCCCCCCCCCCCCGTGGCCCGCCGGGTGCCGTGCACCCCGCCGGCCGAGGCCCCGGCAGCTCCCGGCTCGCGCAGGCCGCACGGCGACCGGAGCCCTCTCCTCCCCCTCCCCCCACGGGCGCGGCCACGTTGGTGCGCCGGGCCCCGGGGCGGGCGACGCTCAGCTCTCCCACTCGCCGCTCGTCATGTTTTCCTCTTCCTCCTCCTCCTCGTCCGAGTCGGGCGACGCCTCCTTGATCCTCATCATCGCCTGGCGGATGCTCCGCGTGAGGGGGTCTGCGTCGGGGTAGGTGCGGGGCCCGTCGACGTCCGTGCCACCGGGCACCACCTTCTTGAGCTTCACGCCGCGGCGGATCTGCGCCATGAGGCTGTCCTCGTCGCCCTCGTCGCTCTCGCAGGGCGCTGCCTGCCGCTCCGCCACCTTGCGCAGGTGGAAGCCGCCGCGTTTCAGCGACGCCAGCACCTCGTCCATGGGAGAGCCTGGGGGGTGGGGCACGGGGAAGTGCGGTGGTGCGGGAGGGGAATGGGGTGGTCATGCGTAGGTTGGCATGCACGCGGAGACACGGGCACACAGCTAAAACATACATTGGCACTCACAAATGCACAAACACAAACTAAAGACAAAGATTCCCAATATAGCCTTGAACAGACTGTTGGGGCAAGTGCTGAAGGCCGGCACGGCACACGAGGGTGTGGGTGGCCAGCACCATGCCTGTCCGTCGATGTCTCCCCAGTGGTGAAGTTTACACATTTCACCAGGTACTCCTTTGAGACTGAATCGACCTCGGGGAGGCCCAGGACTGGTGCAGATAATCGTCACTGGTCTTAAACTAATCGTCGGCCATGAGCGGAAATCGAACTTGGGTTGCCGGATTCGTAGCACAGCGCGCGAACCGCTACACCACCGGGCGCAGAGACACGTATGTCAATGAGCACCTATGAAGGCCAACATGCACGAACACACGAACACATGCGTGTGCAGGCACGTGTAACGTGTAGCTCGCGTCGATGCAGACCGCACAGCGCTGACCGTGAGTCGCGGCCACGTGTCCAGACGACACGCGGAACGCGACGCAGAGCAACACAACGCAGACACCGTGGGCAGCACGGACACAAAACCGCGCCAGACACGGCCGTGCGCAAACGTGGTGCCAGATACAGTGACTTACAACATCAAGTACAGTGTGCCAAGTACAGTGTGCCAAGAACAGAACTCGGCCGAGATTTCAAAGCCGGGCTCGTTTGCTGCACTCCCCCAGCTCCCTCTGGGAAAACTAAAAATAAAGTAACCACTCAGCAAAACCGTGAGCATGGACCCTCCTCCCACAGACATGTGAATACGCACACAAATATACGTACACGTAACAACACTCCCACTCGCCCCGACAATGCACACCCCCTTAGGTATTTACACAAAGCCCCACACCCAAGACAAAGATCTCCTGTGCAGCATTGGCCAGACTACAGTTTCCCCAGTGTCGCCTCTCAACCGGCAAACCAACACATTACACACACACACCACCACTACGCGCCCCGTACACACACATGCGCGCACACACACACACACCACCACTACGCGCCCCGTACACACACACACGCCGCACACACACACCACCACTACGCGCCTCGTACACACACACGCCGTGCACATACACACCACCACTACGCGCCCCGTATACACACACGCCGCACACACACACACCACCACTACGCGCCTCGTACACACACACACACACGCCGCGCACACACACAACACCACTACACGCCTCGTACACACACACACGCCGTGCACACACACACCACCACTACGCGCCCCGTATACACACACGCCGCGCACACACACACCACCACTACGCGCCTCGTACACACACACATGCCGCGCGCACACACACCACCACTACGCGCCTCGTACACACACGCCGCGCACACACACACCACCACTACATGCCCCGTACACACACACCACCACTACGCGCCCCGTACACACACACACGCCGCGCACACACACACCACCACTACGCGCCCCGTACACACACACACACCACCACTACGCGCCCCGAACACACACACACGCCGCACACACACCACCACTACACGCCTGTACACACACACACGCCGCACACACACACACCACCACTACGCGCCCGGTACACACACACGCCGCACACACACACAAACCACCGCTACACACCCCGTTGACACACACCACGCCCCCCTCGCGTGCCCCTACCCCTGCGCTCCGCTGTGGGGGCCGCATTGCCGTCCCCGCCGTTGCTGCTGCGTGCCGCGCTGCGCAGGCGGCTTCGCGCGTCGCGCAGCAGCCCCGTGTCGAGCAGCAGCGTGGCGACCGGCGCCGCCGCCGCCTCCTTCCGGGCCACGCGCTCGGCGCGCTCGGCGCGCCCGCTCGTCCCGGCGGCGCCCGGCGTATCCGGCGATGGCAGCGGGGGAGGGGGCGGGGGGCACGGCGGGGGGGGCGGCGGCGGCGGGGGAGGGGGGGGCGGCGGAGGGGGAGGGCCGGGAGGCGGCGGCGGCGGCGCCGTGAGCGGCCGTGGAGGAGACTCGTCCCGCAGAGGAGACTCGTCCCGCGGTGCGCTTCCGGCTTCGTCCGCCCCCGCACCGCCTCCCGCGGGCGGCCCCGCGCAGAAGATGTGAACGGGGATGTCGCGGGGGGCGCGTGGGGCCCGGGCCCCCCGCTCGGGCTTGCGTGCCGGCGCCTGCCACGGTTTGGGGGTCTCGGTGTGGAGCAGCGGCTGCGGCCGCGACGATGGCGACGAGGAGGATGAGGAGACGGAGCAGAGCGACAGGAGCGACGGGGAAGCGGCTGCTCACGGCGCTGATGGTGCCGCCGCCGCCGCGCCGTGTGCTCGGGGGTTGGTAGCGTGGAGGTCGCAGCACCATCTGCTGTGGGTGTTTCTGTTTGCCCGTCCACACACGCGCACCGATCAACCACGCAACCACGTGCGTGTGTACGAAACGGCTGGTACGGTGGTCAGCATGGGTGGCGCATCTGCCAGCTATCTCGGCCCCGTGACTTGCCAGCCTTCCACACTTCACATGGTCTCACGGTAAGCCTAGCCGTCACTTGCCACTAAGTGTGGGTGATGTCACTGCAGTGCTTGTGCCGGGCTAGGTGCACTTTGAGGTCACGTGAACTGTCCAACGCTCGGTGGCAGGAGGCCATGGGGCAGACCACCATGTTACAGGTTAACAGAGATGATCGATAGGTAGCAGCATCACCCCACGCTCCCCACAGTGCTAACACAACAGCCGCAGCCATAGCTGCCATAGCTGCCATGGCTGTTGTGGTTGTCGTGCGATCGTAGCTGGGCCGTGCGTCTCCTGTGGTCGGAGCCGCATGGCGCCCGTGCGCGCCCGTACCTGGCGGTACGCCTGCAGCCGCTCCAGCGTCTTCTGCCGCTCGCTCTGCACTCGCTCGCTCTCCCTCCTCCTCCCCTCCCGATGCTGCTCCCGCTTCTGTTCGGCGCAAACACGGGGGGGGGGGGGGCGGTGGGGGGCAGAGGCTCAGGGTCAAGCACACACGGCGGTGGCAGCACAGGGGAGCAGCCGTGGCGTGGAGACGCACGACGCTCACCGCCGTCCCCACGCTCGCCGCCATTTCCACGCTCGCCGCCGTCACCTTGGCAGCGAGCGTGGCGCTGGGGCGAGCGTGCCGGTGCATCGTTCTCCATATTAGAAACGTGGGTGGGCATCACTCGGGGAGACGACCGCAGGAGGATCGGGCCTCGCCGCGGCGACGGCACCGCTCATCGGCGGGTGCACGGCGACACTCACCAGGTGCACGGCGTGGTGCTGCCGGTAGCGCTCGTCGCGCTGCTCCTGCTCCTGCTCCTTCTGCCTTTGCCGAGCGATGCACGTCTCCTGCGGGGGGAGGGGGGGGGCGGTCAGAGGCTTTAGTTTTATTTGGTTTGTTTAGCCAGGCAAGAGTGGTCTCGGTGACCGCAGTGACCAACGTCAAAACTTGGCACAACACTGAAGACAAATTACTTTTTAATCCGTTCACAGAAAAATTAAGCTTGAGAAACAACTACAATAATTTAGGGTGATTATTGCAAGAGGATTTAAAGAAACATCCCAATATGGGACCACAAAAGAAGTCAGCGAGGCTTAGGCAGGAGGCATCAAAGCTAACAAGGGACCATGGACGACGCTCTAGAAGAGTAACGGAGCGGCCGCCACGGAACGGAGCGCGTCCCAGACCACGTCCACCCTGGAGATGCAGCGACGAGATCGGTTCGCGAGGGGCTGCCGGATGGATCGTTGCACCGCGGGGGATCTTGAGAGGTGGCGGCGAGTTGGGGCAGGAGGCCTTCATCCAGCAGTGGATTGACCATGGCTGATGACGTCGAGGACCACCTATGGCTTTATGGGAGGAGACTACAGGGAGGGAGGGGGCAGGGGGTGGGGGGTTGCTTACCCGCTTGCTGCGCAGGTACGCGCGCTTAGAGGATATGCGCGCCCGCTTGCTCTGCAGCCGCAGCGCCTGTTGGCGGAGCCGCGCCGTCTCCGCCGCCCCCGCCGCCTGCTGGGCACGGAAGTGCACGGAGGCCTCCAGGTCCTCCAGGCTCTCGTACGCGTCGAAGTACGTCACCTCGTCCTCGCGCTCTGCGCCGCACGGACACGCGCGTCATTACCGCGGGCGCCAGAGCGCGCGCGCGCGCGTGCCAACGCGATCGTGAGAGCGCGTGTCGAGAGGCGGTGGCGCGCGCGCTCCTCACCGCGGATCTGCCGCTTGAGCGAGTCGAGCGAGGTGGTGAGCAGCTGCTCCTCGCAGCGCAGGCTCTCCAGCTGCGCCGCGTACAGCTCCAGCTGCACGCCGTAGAAGTTGCGCTCCAGCGCGTCGAGCTGCTCCTGCGCGTCCTCGCCCGCCGTCATCTCCGACATCTACGCGCGCACGCGAGCGTCATCCGCGCACGCGACAACAGCCACCGTTCGCCTCTACGTGGTGGTGATGTCACCGTGGCGCTTGCCCCAGGCTAGGCGAACTTTGAGGCCAAATGAAGTGTGGAAGGCTCGATGCTGGCATAAGGTCATGGGACAGACCCAGGTGCCATGATCTCCGCCGCCCTCTGTTGTTGTTGGAGGGCGACTGCCTCCAACTGTCCAATCGCGTCCTTCACGGGCCTTATCGGAAAGTCCACTCAGCTACACAGCATTCTGGACCACATCAGTCCATCTCTCTAGCCTGTGCCACACCCATTTAGCCCCCTCCATCCAGCCAAACAAAAGCTGCTTGGGCATACGGTGGCTGGGCATGCGGGCTACATGACCCACCCAACGCAGCCTCGCCTGCCGGAACTCACCGATGATGACGATTGCGTTCAGAGCTTTCACAAACACAGATATAAACACGCATGCAAGCACGGACAAACGTAACACGTACATACAGAGACACAGCCACTACAAACACGCACACACCCTTACATACGGCACTAACTATGGCAGTGCCTGAGGCAAGGCGAGGGGCGAGGGCGAGGGCAGGGTGGCGAGCGGCCGCGCACCTCACGCTTGATGTCTTGCCGCTTGCGTGTGAGACACATCTCGCGTCCCCGCATCAGCTGCAGCGTCTCCTTGGCGACGAGGAAGCGCAGGCGCTCGAGGCGCTGCTGCACCGTGCCCCACGCCGCCTGCCCAAACTGCCGCTCGTCGGCCTCCATCTGACTCAGCAGGGCTGACAAAGACAAAGAGACCCCCTATAGACTCCACAGACTGCTAGAGAGCAGCACTTATGAAAGCCGGCAAAGCACACGAGGGGGTGAGTGGCCAGCACCTTGCCTGGCCGCCTTTGTCTCCCCAGTGCTGATCTTTATACACCATACTCGGTATTAATTTGAGGCCAAGTCAATCTAGGAGAGGCCCAGGACCCGTTTAGACATTTGTATTGACCACGAGTGGGAGCTGAACTCGGATCGCTGGGTTCATAGCACAGCGCGCTTACCGCTGCGCCACCACTCCCGGAGATGAAGCTCACCCCAATCTCCGTGACCCCCAACTTCATGGATCACCGCCAGGATCGATCGCCATACACCCACGGCACCCACGCTTGCGCACCGCAGCAATAATCGTGTCAACTCCCCCCTCACGCCCACGGTGGCTGCGCACCCTTGAGGGCCTTGACGGTGGTGTGGAAGTACTGCACGGTGATGTCCTGGATAGCGTGCACCGCGTGCTCCGCCTTCTGCGCCCAGTCCTGCTCCTCGCGCTGCAGCTCCTGCACACGCCGGGGGCCCAGCTCCTCCGAATCCAGCGTCTTCTGCAGGGCGGGCGGGGGGGGACACAGGGAGTGAGACGGGAGGTCAGGATTCCACAGGAGCAGATCGCCAGTGCTGCCCCGTGACCCCCTTCTGACTCGTCACCCCATGCTCCCCACTAACCTCACCATTTGTTGAACTGCCGCTCATCCCGAGTGAACCCTGCACCGCGTCGTTCTGCACTCTGACCGCGAGCCTCCCTCTTGCCCCAAACTGTTACCCGCTCGGCCAGAACCACCCTCCAAACCCACGCCGACCCCTGACCCGGCACCACCCCGACCCCACGCCACCCTCTAACTACACGCCACCTCCCGACCCCTTGCCGCCTGACCCCTAAACGCTCCCTCACCCCAAACTACCCCCGTGACCCCGTGACCCGCGTGGCCCCAGCCCCGAGCCCGCGTGGCCCCCGCCTCCTGACCCGGATGAGCTGGCGCTGCAGCATGGCGAGCTCGCGCATGTCGCGGAAGGGCTGCAGCAGGTACTGGTGCAGCTCGGCGGCGGCGGTGACCAGCTGCTCGTACGCGTCGTCCTCCGCCGCGTACACGCACAGCATGTCCACCAGGCGCTCCGTGCGCTTGTGCTGCTCAAACGTCTGTGCACACACGCACACACACATATATTATGAAAGATTTCCCATATAGCCTGAACAGAATGTTGGGGAAAGTGCTGTTAGGCAAGCACCTATGAAGGCCAGCAGGGCACATGACTGAGTGCTGCGGCCAACACCACGTTCAGCCACCTCTGTCGATGTTTTACACATGGCACTAGATACTCACTTAAGGCTGTGTCGACCAGGATCAGTTCAGATATTCGACACTGATGTTGGTCAGGAGTGGGAATCGAACTCAAGACCGCTCCTCAAACACCTGTACAATCAGGCATCTTGTTGTTCAGTAACCCAATCACACCTCACGTTATCGGTAACAGAACCAACCCTTTGGCCTGACCTCTCTAAAAGGTCGGCATACAAACACTCGGCGGGGGGGCGGGGGAAGGGGCACGACATAGCCAATGAGTGTGAAATGCTCAGCGGCGATCTGTTTTGGCCTGCCGTGCCTCTGCACACAGCAGCACCTTCATGAAATAGGCTGTGGGTTTTCTCTGGGGGAATCGCCGCTGGTGGGTAAACATCGTGCCAACCCTTTGTGACTTAACCTGAAAGTTCGGAAGGAGATGGCACTCAGCCTTCCGCAGAGGGTGGGTGGGGGGCGCTCCGCCCTTTCCAGCCCCCTCCAACGCTGCGGGGCTGGACACGATCACACCTCGTGTCATCGGCGGGTGACACGATTGCGCCTCGTGTCTCCCATCGCTTACGCAATCAATGACGCAATGGTGCTGGCGGAGCCAACGTGTGACCCCGACAAGTCCACGCCAACGCCGCGTGGGCACGGGTGGCAGGGCGGCCCGTGACACCGACCAGAAGCCTTGCGCCCAACCTCTCGTCCGACCCCACACAGGACCCCCCCGGCGGTTTCGATCCGACCAGAAGACACAGAACCATGCTCATTCACCGCACGAAGACCTCACGCGAGCACCGCGCAAACGAAAGAGAACGACGCAGGCCGTGGACCTTGCCCTCAACCACCGCCCCGTGCCGTCGCTTGGCAGAGGAATGGAGGAGTCGCTCATCACGGCCTCCACAAATACTGGCAATCAGCTAAATAACCTGGACCTGGATATCGAGACCGCCTTGTGGACCTTTTGCATGGCCGTACGCAAGAAGATCCTTAACGTCGCAACACGGCAAGGAGCGAGCTGGGGTCGGTCTGGCTCCCCGAGCGAGAGGGGCGGAGTATTTTTCTAGAGCGACGGGAAGAACGCCACAGTCAGCGAGACGACTTTACGGGAGGAGGAACGTCCCACTTCACCAACTTGCAATGACCAACGTGGTGAAGTATGGTAAAACAACCCCCATGACTGAAAAGACATGGGAGGGGGGAAGCCTCCATCCAACAATGGATTGACAGAGAGTTGTATTTTTTACATTACTATTTATATCACCGTGGGTAGGAATTCTTAGAAGACAATTCATCGAGAGCGGCAGGCACTGTAGGCAGAGGCAAGAAGTCTCGAGCCTGGACTTGAGCTGGGGGAGGGGGGCAGGAAGGGGGCTGGGGGAGGGGGGCAGGGAGAGGGCTCAGCCTTGCAGGCGGCCAGAGGAAGGAATTCCAAACGGAGGGAGCAGCAGCAGCAGGAGAGAAACAGCCACCTCCCTAATCATAACACCAGCCCTAGCACCGACAATAACACTCGCCGCCCCACGCTCCCACATCACAACTCCACCACTGACTCTACCCTCAACATTACCAGCTCTCACCCCAACACGAGCCTGTAAACCCAGCACTAGCCCTGACCTTAACAACAACTGTAACCATTCACACTGACCCTAACCTTACTGCTGATCCAAATACCGTGGCACGGTTGGCTACGTACGGTGCGAAAGAAGTTCAGACACTAACACTATCCCTGTCACTAACCTTACCGCTGACATTCATCGTAACCCCAACCTTAATACTGACACTAGCCCTCACACTACCCGTGACACGAGTCCGAACAATAACCCTGACGATAACACTGTCACCCATCCTGCCCTCACTTTAGCCCCGACCCTGACACCAACCACATCACGAGCCCTAACCAAGCAACATCTCTCCCCATCTCAGCGGATTAGGGGTTGCAGGTCAGGCCACAACCCTAACATGATCCCAGATCCCAGCGCGACCATCCTCAGCGTTGGCGTTTGGCAGGTGTGCAGTGACGGTATCCAGAGCGCACCGTGGGCAGTGTGCTTACCATGTATAGGTTACAGTGTAAACACACGCACACTACACACAGGATACGGGCATAAACAGTGGTGGAGAAAGACACAAACCGACCCACCACCACGTCACACTGACATACGAACCCAAGACACGTTAAGGCAGCTTGTGTGTGTGTGCATGCACGCGTGTGCACACGTGTACACGTATGCGTGTACACAAACATGAGCATGGTACAGTGGCTTCTGCACTGTTTCAAATCTGGTGATCCGAGTTCGATCCCTGGCTCGAGCGAAGTTCAGTGGCAAGTGGTATTTGAATCAGCCACGGGCCTTCCCTACGTTGACTCAGTCCTAAAGTAATTGCGCACCCGGTCAAGTGTCTACACACCAGCAATGGAGAGGCAATGGAGGATCGGCATGACGCTGGTCACACCAGCCCCTCGTGAGAGGTGCCAGCCTTCGCAGGTGCTCGCCCACCACCCGGGGGATCGTGAATGTGGCTGCCAGTACAGAGACAACAAAAACACTTGCACTCGGTGCATTTTGCGAAGGGGTATTGGGCAGAGTCCGTGGCAATCGTGCACGTGAGCTCACGACGACATCCTCCTGTGAGCGGCGTCACAGAATCGCTCACGTGCCACAGGGGCCCTGGGGGGTGGAGATCACGTCCCCGTGAGCCACCACCGCCCGCATGTGAAGCTGGGTTACCACTGTGAACTCTGGACTCAGTGCATCAATGTGTGTGTCGCTGTCATTGTGTGTCTCAGTGTAGCATGGTGGATGTGTATCGCTGTTATAGTTTGTCGCTAACCACTACACGACCACTCCCCACTCCACCGGAACACACACGCCAGCAGTGAGTCGAACAAGATGCCCCGGGACAGCCGTCAACAGCCAAATAACAACAACCGCCATTCGCAACTAAGTGGCGGTGACGTCACCAATGCGCTTGTGCCAGGCTATGTGCACGTTAAACACACACCCACCAACTGCACACCCACTCAATAGCGCTGCTGTGATGTCATAAGTGTGGTTATTTAAACGCCCCACGCTTACGCAGGGCAGCAAAACAACATCATTACTGCCGGCGCTACAGCACGTGACTCCAGCAGCCGAAATTACGGGTTCAGTGCGATAAAGCTGCAGTAACACGACAGGTTAATTTGTTGTGTCCGTGCATGTATGGTCAGTACACGCGTGTAGGGCGGCTGTGTACACGTGCATGTGGATGGGAAAAGGTGGCGCAGTTGTTTGTGCGCTGCGTTAGGAAAACAATTTCTACCCAAAGCCAACACCAGTTTTATCTAAACGGGTCATGGGCCTCCCCTCGGTAGACTTAGCCTCAAATGAGTACCTGGTACAGACCCACGGGCGTGGGTCTGGCCACACCACCCCCTCGTGTACCGTGCCGACCTTCATAAGTGCTACTCGCTAACAGCACTTGCTCCAACAGTCTGTTGAGGCTATACGGGGGTCGTTGTCTTTGTGCGTGACACAGCGACACAGCGACACAGCTTCCGCGTGACTATGCTGCCGACGACGTCACGTGCTCAGGCGACAGGTGAGCCAGATTAGGGGAGGGGGGAGGGGGCTGGTTAGCCAGGTGGGGGCGACAGGCGAGCCAGATTAGGGGGGTGAGGAGCCCGGTGGGGGTGGGGGGTCATGCAGCTTCATCCAGGAAACCAGAACAATGAGTGCAGGTGACGAACACATGAATAATTACAGCGGACTGCTCACCACTACACACACTCACCACCACCCACTACACACACTCACCACCCACACTACACACACTCACCACCCCCCACGACACACACTCACCACCCCCAACTACACACACTCACCACCCACACTACACACACTCACCACCCCCCACTACACACACTCACCACCCCCCACTACACACACTCACCACCCCCCACGACACACACTCACCACCCCCAACTACACACACTCACCATGACACAGGGACCACAGAGGCCACCGTGCCAGACAAATGCCTTTATGTGCTTCCCCAACTTTATCCCAATCGCGCTATCAGGGTCACAAAACAAACAATAACTTCGGATCTCTCGCAAGGCAGGGCGACTAGACTATGAGAGAATGGCCTGCAGAAGCAGCTACTACAGAGCTGCTTCTGAAATCCCTTCACGTGAACTCTTGTCCTCATAGTTGAGGGCACTGCTTTAACCCCTGTACTGCCGCATAGACGGATGTTACCGCATCACACTCTCGCCAATCGTTTATATTCTGGGGACTGGAATTTAGCCAAATTTAGCGCAGAATAAAATTGTATTTGATGGTGTTTTGTGACCTAGCCGAGACCGGCCCCCTGCAAGCCGGGGGGTGTGAACTCAGGCTCTCGGCGGTGTGGGTTCGGCGCTCCGACCTTTGAGCCAGGCGGCCGCCTCTGCGCCACTGTCGATGGCAAGTCAGCGGCAGCAGCAGCAACCCAACGAGCCGCCCACCGCCACTTTCCACAACTAAAGCTAAATAGATAACTGCAAATAATCGGAAACACGCGGCGGGTCGCGCCGAGCTCCGCTTGGCCCAACTCCACACGCGGGAACGCTCCACGCTCGCCACGGCGGCGGCAGAGGAATCGCTGTCAGGATTGGAGACCATTTGAACACTGGAGAATTCAAAACGAAACTTAAAAGGGTGAAAAACCAGAAGTTTTAGTTCTCCCGAGACGCAGTGCGACACCAGATAGACCTGTGCCATCACCGCCTCTCACGGATTTCATCAACACCATCATTATCTTCTAGATTTGAAGCTTTCGTGACTGCAAGGATTCATATTCTTAGGTTTTTTCGCTGCCACCGTTGGCACTGCATACTCTCACCGATCACTATCATACCTGCCACTCCCACTCAATACGACCATCATCACGGCCACCATCAACACTAGCACACTCTCCATTGAGATCATCCAAAATTCCGAGTAGACATTTTTGTTATACCATCAACAATCCTCCATCCACTGCTGGATGAATCAAGCTTGTGACCTGGGGAAGTCTGGTGTTGGTCTGGGCTTGCCCCATGTGGCCCTGCACCCCCATTATCCGGGTCACAGGGTAGACGCATCGCAGGCACAATTTCGCCTCCCAAGAAGCTCATTAGCAAGTGGACGACCTCACAGATCCACTGCCCAGACAGAGAGGGACCCTCGTCCACCTTGAAGTGCCACCACGCTTGGGTCCGGCACCCACTCTCCCTCCTCCTCACCCTCCTCCTCACCCTCCTCCCGTGTCGAGGCTTTAATTATTCATTCACCGTCTACCTGCCCTGGGGGCTAGGAGAGGGTGGTGGTGGTGGTGGGGGGGCTTGGCCCGGCTCGCACCTGCCACCCAACGGTGGACGAGAGTCCAGGTGGGACCCAGCTGTGGGAAGTGGGGGGGGCAGCCCCCCTCCCCTCCCCAGCCCCCCTCCCCAGCCCGCGTCACTCCACGCGGGACGCGGCGGCGGGACAATGGGCCCAGTGTGGCATGAGACGAGAGCTTTGTGCGCGACCATCTGCCACGGGGTCTTCTTCTTCTCCTCCTCCTGCTGCCAGGTGGGAGGCGGGGGGCTCCCTGCCTGGCGGGAGGAGAAGAAGACCCCCCTCGCCGTCTCCCTCACGGGATCCATATACCCGTCCCGGGACGCCAACCCCTGTACCCGTCCCGGGACCCCCGTCTCTCTCACTGTGTCCCCCTGTACCCGTCCCGGGACCCCCGTCTCTCTCACTGTACCCCCCTGTACCCGTCCCGGGACCCCGTCTCTCTCACTGTGTCCCCCTGTTGTTCTAATCACAAAAGGCCTTGCCGGTGACAAAGGGAACCAGGTCTCGGCGGGGGCGAGTGGCCGTGAAGGGGCCCACCTTAGAGCGCGCCACTGACCCCCTCGGCCAGCTGCCAGGGGCGCTGACAACAGACGCTGTCCCCGTGAACATAAATCCCCTCTGACCCTCACGCCAAGAGGTCACGACCCTCATCCAAACCATGGCAACAGTTCAGCAGACCACGAGACCCGACTAGGAATACCACGTGGCTCGGGACCACTGTCAATAAGGGGGCAAACACTGAGCCCATGGCCCCCCTCTTGATGGCCTCACAAACCACCAAACCCTGAACCCGTGACCCCGATCTTGAGATCCGAATATCCTGTGACCTTGACCTCGTGACCCTAGTTCTTGAAGTCCGAATACCCCGAAACCCTGATCTCGAGACGCCAGCAGCCCGAGACCGCGTGACTTCACGACACTTGACACGAGGCAAGACCACAAGACCACGACCCCACGGGACCCCACGGGACCCCCGCAACCCCCCGTCTCTCTCACCGCCCTGAGCGCGGCCTTGGCCCGCGTGAGGGCCGCCTCGTGGCCCGCGCGCCGCAGGTCGCTGAGGCTCTCGTAGTATCGCTCCAGCTCGTCGTCCTGCCCGAACATGAGCTCCCGCAGCACGGTCCAGCCGCACGCGTCCAGAGCCGCCGCCAGGTAGAGCTGCAGCGCCGAGCAGAGCGCCTCCCGCTCGGGGTCGCGCAGCCGCCCGGCGTGGGCCGGGAACAGCAGCGCCCACACCCCCGAGGGCGACTCGGGGAAGGCCGGGACCCAGGCCTCGAGCGCGGGACTCAGCGCGCTCAGCTGCACGTGGAGGCCGCGCAGCTCCTCGCACGAGAAGAGGCCGGCCCAGCTCGTGTCTCCCACCTCCTCCACCACCTCCACCACCACCTCCACCTGCTGCTGCTGCTGCTGCTGCTGCCCAGGGCCACCCCGCGCCGCCCTCAGGGCCCGCTCCCGCTGGGCCGTGCGGTCGTGGCAGCTGATGGCCGCCTTCTGCTCCACGTCGTTCCACGCCACCATGAAGGCCACGCGGCGCCGCGCCTCCTCCTTGAAGGCGTCGGCGCGGATGGCCACCCACCCCTCCAGGCTGTCCGCGCGCTCCTCCGCCTCGCACATGGCGGTCGCCACGGCTGCCGCAACCTCCTCCCCCTCGAGCACAACCACGACCGCGGTGACCACCACCACCACCACCACGGCGGCAGCCCCGTCGGGCCGGTGCGTGACCACTCTTCTTTGTTGTTGTTGTTGTTGATGATGATGCGGTGGTGGTGGTTGGTGCCTTCGCTGTCGACGTGGTGCCTGGCTCTGTTGTCGCTCTAGTCGCTCTAGTCGCTGGTGGTGTGGCGATGTTGATGTTTTGTTGTTGATGTCGTTTGTCAAGTCGTGCAGTCGCTCTTGCCGCCGCTGCCGTCGCTCACGGAGTTGTTGTCTTTGTTGTCGTGGATGTTCGCCTTGTTGACCACGCAGTTGTTGTCGTTTATGCTGTTGTAGTTACTGTTGTTGTTGTTGTTGTTCTCGCTGTTGTTGTCGCTATCGGAGCGTGCGGCCCAAAGCCGCGGGCGCCGCTGCCATTTCCTCCTGACGTCTCAAGCCCCGCCCCTCACTCCCTAGCCCCGCCCCTTACTCCCTAGCCCCGCCCCTCACTCCCCATAGCCCCGCCCCTCACTCCCCATAGCCCCGCCCCTCACTCCCCATAGCCCCGCCCCCTCATTCCCCATAGCCCCGCCCCTCACTCCCTAGCCCCACCCCTCACTCTCCATAGCCCCGCCTCTCTAACATAGCCCCGCCCCTCACTCCCCATAGCCCCGCCCCTCACTCCCCATAGCCCCGCCCCCCTCACCCCATAGCTCCGCCCCCTCACCCCATAGTCCCGCCCCTCACTCCCCCTAGCCCCACCCCTCACTCCCCATAGCCCCGCCCCTCACTCCCCATAGCCCCGCCCCTCACTCCCCATAGCCCCGCCTCTCTAACATAGCCCCGCCCATTTACAGCCGTGACCCAGCCTCTTCACCAATAGCCCCGCCTTCGTTTGTAGACCCCGCCCAACTGACGACGAAGCCCCGGCACGTGCCCCGCCCCCCTCTGTGCCATTGGCTGGAGAGCGCGCGAGTGTTGATGTCGAGCTCCTCGCGAATGGTCGGAATCCACCCACGTGCGTCATTGTCCCCGACTCCGCCTATTGTTTACGCTGTGACGTCACCTCCCCGAGCCGCTGTTGCCACGTGACTCGCGGGAGGCTGACGGCGAGCTCCTCACCCAAGATGGCGCCCCCCATCCTCCACCTGGTGACGTCACGCGCGGCCCTTGACGAGGCTGTCCACGCGCGCCGGTGACAGGTCCCGTGGCGGTCCCCGCGAAGTCTGTGGTCACCCAGGAGCCTGTCGCCTGGCTGGGCCACTACACATGCTTATTGTGGACTTGATTATTTAGCACGCGCAAGTTAGACAAAGCTTTTGTCTATTCTATTGTTTTTGTAGCCGCACGGTGACGGCCGAACAGGCGGCGGCGAGGACACCCAAACAGGACCCCGGAGTCCGCGCACTGTACGACTTCCTGTGCAGCTGGCGGTGAGTACAGTGCGGATCATAACACAGCAAACATTGAACAGCAACACAACAAACATTGAACAGCAACACAACAAACATTGAACAGGCAACACAACAAACATTGAACAGCAACACAACAAACATTGAACAGGCAACACAACAAACATTGAACAGCAACACAACAAACATTGAACAGCAACACAACAAACATTGAACAGGCAACACAACAAACATTGAACAGCAACACAACAAACATTGAACAGGCAACACAACAAACATTGAACAGCAACACAGCAAACATTGAACAGCAACACAACAAACATTGAACAGGCAACACAACAAACATTGAACAGCAACACAACAAACATTGAACAGGCAACACAACACACATTGAACAGGCAACACAACAAACATTGAACAGCAACACAGCAAACATTGAACAGGCAACACAACAAACATTGAACAGGCAACACAACAAACATTGAACAGGCAACACAGCAAACATTGAACAGGCAACACAACAAACATTGAACAGGCAACACAGCAAACATTGAACACGCAACACAACAAACATTGAACAGGCAACACAACAAACATTGAACAGGCAACACAGCAAACATTGAACACGCAACACAACAAACATTGAACAGGCAACACAGCAAACATTGAACACGCAACACAACAAACATTGAACAGGCAACACAGCAAACATTGAACAGCAACACAACAAACATTGAACAGGCAACACAACAAACATTGAACACGCAACACAACAAACATTGAACAGGCAACACAACAAACATTGAACAGCAACACAACAAACATTGAACAGGCAACACAACAAACATTGAACAGCAACACAGCAAACATTGAACAGGCAACACAACAAACATTGAACAGGCAACACAACAAACATTGAACAGGCAACACAGCAAACATTGAACAGGCAACACAACAAACATTGAACAGGCAACACAGCAAACATTGAACACGCAACACAACAAACATTGAACAGGCAACACAACAAACATTGAACAGGCAACACAGCAAACATTGAACAGGCAACACAGCAAACATTGAACACGCAACACAACAAACATTGAACAGGCAACACAGCAAACATTGAACACGCAACACAACAAACATTGAACAGGCAACACAGCAAACATTGAACACGCAACACAACAAACATTGAACAGGCAACACAGCAGTGTAACAACACGTTCACAGCAGCGCGGTGCAACACCACACGGACATCCCGGCGTACGAGCACGGCGAGAACAGGGCGGTGTAACCGCGTGCCCATGTAAGTAAGTGGAGGCGCAGCCCTGCAAGTGCACGAGGCGCAGCCCTGCAAGTGCACGAGGCGCAGCCCTGCAAGTGCACGAGGCGCAGCCCTGCAAGTGCTCGCGGCGCAGCCCTGCAAGTGCTCGCGGCTCACGCCACAGGCGGCGGAAGCGGCCTCCGTGATGTTTGTGGGGCGCTCCGCCACCGTGGGTGACAGCGTGGGTGACAGCCACAGAGAGCCCCTGGCGTGAAGAGGGAAGTTTTGGCCTACTCTTCCACTCTGACCAGACAGATGGCTTTGCAGAGGGAATCATAAATATATGATACGATTAAAAATATGTAGCAATACAAGACACTATACATGAAAGGTTAAACAACAGCACGTCGTTTATAAATGTGCTAATAACAGCATACGCACAGTAATGGACGCAGCCTCGTGGCAATCTACCGCTGGATGAAGGCCTGCTGAAGGGCCTGGGGCCGGAGTCGCTCTTCGCTGGCCTGAGCCAGTGAGCTAACTGGTGCGCCACCGCTCCACCCCAACACAGAACGTACTAAGAAGTACCAACCTATGTTATATGAAGAGTATGAAACAAATGATGACAGTAACATACAGTAGCACACCAATAATAACGTGCTTACATTGTAACAAACAGCAATACCAAAGCAGAGCAACTTAAAACTCAAGTCGCAGTGACGACAGTGACATCTCGGTAGCAATGGGAGTGCACGCGTTAAGCATGCGTGCAATCACACAGCAACGTCCGTTTACAGCACATTGTGGTTATAAGCTACTCACCTTGAATTGCATTTCATGTTCTTGGTGGACGTGCTTGTGCGACAGGAATTATTACATATCTTTGAACCACAAAGCTCGGAGACGCTTCCCATGGTTGTACCGTTTAAATTTCCATCTGGTACAGTTAAAATGAGAGGCTGGTAGATTCCATGGTTGCGGTCAAGGGACGGCTGCCTTCTGATTAACCACGTTATGTATTCTGATAATTTGGTAATTGCTGTTCACTGACAAGGAGTTGATCAGCTGCTGAACCTGGGGCTTGCCGCTAAGAGTTGTCCGTCAAGGCCAGCCCCACCATCTCGTGACTTCCAGCCATCAAGGACTTGACACTGCACATGGCTTTAAAGTGCAACAAGCCTGGCACGATCGCTGTGGAGACCCCACAGTGGTAAACGGCGGCTGTGGTAGTTGTTTATACGGAATGTATGCGAGTGCGTAAATATATAATGGTGTGTACCCCAACCCCTTAAAATCTCACAGTGACCGCCATCTCGCATTGGAACTTGTGTCTACGGGACCCCTGGAGTCTGGGGACGGAGCAGAGGGGTCAGGGTGGGGGGCCAGGGCAGTGGGGGTCATGGAGGCGAGCGCCCCAGACTACGTGACGGCGCAGCTGCTGGGCATGGTCAACCAGGACGACATCAGCGCTGTGGTGCAAGCACAGCGCCACATGTGAGGCTGCTCCGCACACTCGTGGCGTTACCAACTCCTAACTCCAAACAGACACCGTCACTCACCAACGCAATCACAACCAGTACTCACGATGGCAACCTCCACTTACCACCACTGCCACAACCTTTAAATCCATGCAATAACCAATTGACCACCCACTGACGATGGCCATTGGACCGGCTGCCCTGGCAGTCCCACCCATCTCATCCCAGTTGCTCTGTCAATGAACCCCGCACCACTCTGCCTTCTGCCGCTTCTCCCCTCGTCTCCTCTGCCCCCTCCCCCCAGGTTGGACCGGTTTGAGAAAACGAACGAGATGCTGCTAAACTTTAACGAGCTGTCATCGTCGCGCCTCGCCTCCATGACAGAACGCTTCACCCAGCACACGCGCACGCTCGCCGACATGCGCCGCGACCTCGACACCGTCTTCCGTCGCATCCGGCAAGTACCCGGCGCACACGGGCACCCACACACGGGCACGCACACACGGGCACGCACACACACGCAGGCATAGAGTACACACAAACGAGTACGCATGCTCACAGAGGTGGTTTCGCATAGTGTGAACTAATATCTTTCTTTTCTTTATGGGATACAGTTTTGGCCCCCTCACACGTGTTGTTCTTGCCTGGGTCCGGTTTCCTCCCACGTGACGAAAATATCTTTATAGAGGACCACAGAGCTTGGACAATTGTTGGTAACACCGGCTCCCCGCCGTCTGGCTGCCTTCCCTCTTGTCTCTGGTGCCTCAGCAATTGTGAGACGCGATCTTGCGTGCATACGTAAGCGCATGCATACATACAAGCACACGAGCTCTAAAGACCTCTCGCTCGTACACGTACGCGACCGCGACCACAGGTACAAATGCAAATGAGTACGCGCACGCAGACACGTGAACGCATTGGAGCATGTGCGCTTCTCGCGTGCGCGTTGTGTTTGGAGGAGCGGTCTGCACTGCCCTTGTGGACCCCGTGACGCGGTCGGTGTCCCCACAGAACCCTGCGGCGCAAGCTGGAGAAGCAGTACCCCGAGTCGTTCAGCCGTGAGTGTCGCCCACCCCTGTGCCCCGTCACGTTTACGGATGGCAGTACGGTAAATGCTGGGATAGCAGCGATGCCCACGTCCCAGAGAATAAAAAAAAACCTTCCTGTGGAAGATGGCAGCCTTCACGTGGCCCACTGTTTAGTGATAAATCACGACGCATGCCATCGACGCGGCGACCGAACATCGATCTCCCCGTCTCTAGAGCAACAACACGAGCGAAATTCTAGTTGTTGCTCAGCATCGATCAGCAATACGAAAGAAGACCGAACATTGCTCCCACACGTGTGTTCACTGCTGTGGTGTATAATGCCCTTTGCTGGAGTTCATGTTCATATGGCCGTTTGTAGGGCATGCAGACTTTAGTTTTGTACATTAATGCACATGCATGTTGATACTCTCACTTGTTTACATGCACTTGTTCACACACACACAAGTTCGTACATTTAGACAAGCACACGCGTGTTCTCTCTCACACACACACGTGCTCTTCTGGTGCCACCGTGTGTTCACCGCAGGCTGCCATGAGGCGGGGGCCGAGGAGGAGCGGGAGGGTCGCCGTGAGGCAGCGCGGGGCGCGGCGCCGTCAGCAGAGGGCGCGCGTCCCCCTCCTCCCGGACCCCCGTGAGCAGCGAGGAGAGTGGGGATCCAGGAGCCCTGGCTGCAGTGGTGACGACCGTGGAGCTTGACCGTTCACTGTGGGGTTTTTTTTCCACTGGGTGCGTGATCTGCGGGTCGGGGTCCTTTTCTGCACTTTCATCGGACATTCACATGGCGTGTCCACACGCAAACACACCCAGACCTTCACATGAACACACGCAAGTCAACTGGCATCAGCCGGTTGCGAGTAACGCCCATGTGGATTTCACCGCCATATTGTCGAGTGGTGCTCGGAAAAGTCACCAACGGCATTGCACGACTCCACGATTGGACATTACACTCAGCAACCCCAACGCACCTTCGACACATCTGTGCATTGGGGCATGGGCAGTGTAGAATATTGCTGCCTGCTTGGCTTCGTGTCCCAGGTCTTTTGCTTAAGGAATTGTGCAATCAGTGGCTCTGGACTGGGTAAATAAAGACGTTTGATCGACCCCAACGCATGTGACATCGTTTCTCTGCAATTCACCTCAACCAGGGATGGGCTCAGTCCCAAGTCAGGACTGGTGGTGGCTGTGGGGTTAGAGGGTTCTTCTGGTTTCACTGGCACCTGCAGGGAGGGCGCGTCCCGGAGCGGATTGAGAGGCGAGAGCAGTGGTTGAGGCTACGCGTGGTTTTTATTGACGGAACGGCTGGCGGGGCGGCACGATGCAGGGCGCGGACACAGGGACGCCGAGGTTAATGTTTCTATTCACGTTGGACTATTTACATCGCGGTACACACGGCGGCGGCGGGGTCGCATGGGCCCCGCCAGGCCGCACCCGCACATGGCATGAGTTTACAAATCTGAGAACGGAACGACAGACGCGTGGCGACCGCTGGTTAAAGATTCACAAGCGACTAAAACAAGCTGCGTGCATTCATCAGGCAGAGACGTTGGCCCTACCAAGAGGATCCCCGTGAAGAGGGACCGCGTACAAGGGGACCCTGTGAAGTGAGGCCCATATAAAGGTACCCCATAAGAGGGACCCCATACAAGGGGACCCCCCCCGTTAGAGTGGGACTCCTTGAAGGGGAACCCCCATGCCAGGGCAGCCGGTCCCTTGGCCTCCGTGCACCTACAGCACTTTAAGTTAATAGCGACAACAATCAATGTGGGTGATGATCGGCTTTTACAAAACGAACTGAAATGACGCGACTCGCACTTCAGTTAGACAGCTCAGATTCGAGTTTTCATTCTACGATTTCCCCCGCCAACGCCAGCCACACGGCTGCGTAGACCCACGCTGCGCAGGCGAGTCACCCCCTAATCACTTGACCCGGTCACCCCAATCAGGTGACGTCGTGATCATCCCGACGCTGGGAACTGGGTGTCGTGGAATCGTTACCGTGAGTTCAATCAGAGTGGTTGCTTGTCATTGACACTGTTACCACCTCCCTCAAACGTGGAGGGAACCCCTGGGAGGTCCCATTTCTGGGGAGGGGGGTGGAAGGTCGGGGGGCCCTGCCCCTTCTGACGCCCACCCTCCCTCGACGTGGGAAGCAATGCTGATATTCCCCGCCCCAATCACCATTCCCCACCCCGCTTCCCTGGGCACACAGCCATGCGGAGCACCTGGGGGCATGGGGTAAGGGGAGGGCCGGGTGAGGGGGGGTCATGGCCCCACTTTATAGAGGGGGGCAGGGCACCCCCACACCCAGCCCCTTCTCGTGGGAGTGCTTGTATGCGTTTGGGTGTACATGTATATTTGTATCGTGCATGTGTATTTGCAAGGACGTGTGCATTTGTGTACAGGTGTCTGTCTACATGTTTAACTTCACCGTGTCGCTGTGCGTGTGTGGGTGCGAGTTTCATCGGTCGCCTGGATTCGTGGTCCCTTCGCTCAAGGATGCGAGAGGTTTGGAGCGTCCGCTGTGCGTGCACCGCACACGCGTGCGTTTACGTGTGCGCGTGCGTGCAAGCGGGCGAGTGTATGTATGTGTGCGAGCTGGGGCAGCTCGGTGTTCACGAGGAGCAAGGGATGTCTGTCATCTGGTTGTTGGTCGGCCTGAAGATAGTCTGCACAGAGAGGGTGGGAGGGCAGAGAGGGTGGGAGGGCAGAGAGGGGACACGTGAGCAGGCAAACTCGCGTGCAGAGCGGCACAACAACAGCAGCAGTAGTAGCCACCGGCATTCACCATGAGGTGGCAGTGACATCACCAGTGTTTGTGCCAGGTGCACATTAAGGCTATCAAGCGAAGTATGTGAGGCCCGCCTGCAGCTGGCAGATCACGGAGACAGAGCCAGCTGTATGTATGGTGAACTTCTTTCGCACCGTACATAGCCAACCGTGCTAATTGGAGGTGCGGGTGTATGGGTTAACCAATTGAGATGACTGGGACACACAAAGAAATACCTACAGTTACACGCATGCACCCACCCAACAGAAATCCGTACATCTACACAAGCACACAATGTAAATGCAATCTTACAAATGCATGCACACATAAATACCAGTCGTTACACAGGGCTCAGCACAGTTTGTACCTCAACTGGAGACTGCTTGGGAACACCGACTGGCACGATTGGCTACGTGTGGTGCAAAAGCAGCTCAACATACACACGCAGGCTTGGGCTGCTAGGTGGCCAGGCGATGGCAGTACAGCTACGAATGTTGTAATCGATCAGTTCGGACCTTTGAGCGTTACCCCTGGTCTGCATGGGCAGTCTCTGGATACTCTGGTTTCCTCCCACGTGAAACGAAACTCTCATTCATGGAATTTCTCAAACATCTCAACGCAGGGACCCTCCTTAGGAGCAGGTGTGGAAACTCGTTGAGGTTATCTTGGGTAAATAAAAGACCCTTGTGTATAAAACCCCACACACATAGACAAGTACACACAAATAATCACACCCATGCAAATATATACAGCCATACCAGTACTACAACCTACAAGCGCATCATCATAATTACTCAACGGCCTGACAGACACTCGAACACGTCACCACACGGGCCTGTACCTTCTGCCCCGTCCCGTGTCTCAGGCTGTTCCTGTTGTCGTCGCCCTCGTCCTCCACCTCACACACGGCAACACAGACACCCCCACGTTACAGTCCCGCTGTCCGCAAGCGCCTATTAAGGCTGGCAGCGTCCAGTGCTCGCCATGCGCCCTCCCCTCTTCCCGGTGCTGTTGCCACACTGCACTGGTGATTATTTAAGGCCGAGGTGACCTAGGAGTGGCCCCATGTAAGCGGCTGCTGCCCTTGCTGCTGATTTTGCTGCCTCTATCAGGAGCTGGGGAATGTAGTCATGGCAACGGGCAGCAGTGCCGGCATGTTAACGAGGCGGACGGGAGAGGGAGGAGCACACACACACACTCGCTCAAATACATCAACACGCTCAATTCACACAGGCTCACATACTTGCACATAAACACAACTCACATGCTCATGTGCACACAAACTCGCACCATAGCTCACACACACCAACTCACGCTGAATCCCATACTCCATTTCACACAGGCTCACACTTGCGCGCTCACACTTGCACTCATACCGAAACTCGTGCTCACACTCGCGCTTGGAAAACAGCAACAGCCACCATTCACCACTGTGCGGTGGTGACATCACCCCAGGTGCTTGTGCCAGGCTAGGTGCACTTTGAGGCCATGTGACGTGTCAAAGGCTTGCTCAAAGGCGATTACTGGACAGGCCTGGGTGCTATGACAGACTTGAGATCACTGACGCACCACCTGCTCCCATCTGTGCCACCTTGCTGTGTTTCAGCCGCCCAGTGCTCTGCTTGTTGTGAGCACACACACACACTCTCTCTCAAACACTGTCACACAAACTCACTCTCAGGTATGGTCCCACACGCAAACAAGTTCCCACACGCAGACTCGAGAAGACTCGCACACTCGCGTTTGTACTTCCAATCTCAGCAGCCCTATGATCCCGGGGCTTTGGGGGGGATGAGGCTCACTCCGTGGGGGTCATGGCCGCCGTGTGCGCTCGCTCATCACTGCCGTGATGGTGGCGATGGTGACGATTCAGATGACGGTGTTCTGGGTGGTGATGGTGGTGGTGGCAACGGTGGTAGGAGTGGCGGCGGTGGTGGTAGGAGTGGTGATGGAAGTGGCAACGGTGGTGGTGGGGATGGTGGCAGTGTTGAAGGTGGAAGTGACAGTGGTTGCAGTAGTGACGGTGATGCTGGTGATGGCGTTGGTGATGATCACCTCTTTTTTCCATTTCAGCTCGCAGAAGATCCTCTCAAAGCACTCGTGCATGTAGTTATACTGGGGGAGGCACGTGCACACACACGAACCCACGCACACGTGTACACGCACAGTGAGCACAAGAGGCCCCTTGGGCCTAACGCGTGAAACTTTATAGCACGTGTTGGTATACTGCTAGAAGTGTGTGTGTGTGTCTTTGTATACTGGCATACTGCCACGACTATTATGTGTGCGTCCGTGCAGATGCAGGTATACTACGAGAGTGTGTGCGGCTTAGTACACAGCGTGTACTCGTGTTGTATGCGCGTGTGTTGTACAGATGTGTGCATGTGTGGCTCACGTAGGGAGTGAAGATCTTCACCCATCGCGGTTTCTTCTCGCCGCGGACGTACTCGAAACAGAACGCCATCCCCTCCTCGTCCGTGTCCCACTGCCGCATCTCGGCCCACTCAAACGAGATCACCTGGTTCTGCAGGCACACACGGGTACACGCTTACATGTGAACATGTATGCGGGTACTCGCCGAAAGGTGAACATGCGCATGGGTACACACCTGCATGTGAACATACACACATGTACATGTCAACAGGTGAACACGCACACCAAGACCCTCCCCTTAGCCTTAAGGGACTGTTTGGGAAAGTTTTGTTAGCGAATACCTTTGAAGTCCTTCTTGGTTCTTTCGGTAAAGTCACGTAGAAGGGAAATAATAAAGTAAAATAAATAAAAAAGAAATCGCATTATTTTATTATTTCCCTTCTACGCGACTTTACCGAAAGAACCAAGAAGATGAATCCCTGCAGTCACGAAAGCTTTAAATCAAAACCTATGAAGGCCGTCACGGCACACGTGGGGGTGGGTGGTCAACACCATGCCTGGCCGCCTCCATCTCCCCAGTGCCGATGTTTTATACACACCCGGCCAGGTACTTATTTAAAACCGAGTCGACCTAGGGGACGTCAGGTTCACAGCACATTAACCAATGCGCCAACACTCCCCATAACACACACACACACCGACAACAGCACAGGGAACACTAACAGCAACGCCCAACACCCCGTGAGGCCGAGACCCCGTGAGGCCGTGACCCCGTGAGGCCGTGACCCCGTGAGGCCGTGACCCCGTGAGGCCGTGACCCCGTGAGGCCGTGACCCCGTGAGGCCGTGACCCCGTCTGACCTCGAGCTGGCCCTCCTGGGTGCAGGCGTGCAGCGAGAAGTGGTGCAGGCCCACGGCGGCCACCACATGGCCCTTCCTGCGCGAGTCGCAGGGGCAGTGCG